TGTGGTTGTTGTGGAACTTGTGTTCGTTCCTGTCACTGTCCATCTTTTACAGGTTGATTCGTCGGTTGTTCAGTAACTTCGGTGCAGTTCTTTGTCGTTTGCATCGAAGTTCGTTTCAGTTCACCCCTTCTGCGGATTTCATTCGGTCTCCACAACATGTCTGACCCTCGAGGCAATAACGGGAAGGGCCCCACGGAGTCCTCCTCGGCAACGGGGAAAAGGGCGGAGGGTAGTAGAAAAGGTCACAACACGAAGATAAAAGGGCCTTTACCCGATATAGGCCTCAGGCCTTGTAAAATAAAGCAGCACGGGCCTTGAAAAAGTAAAGCATTGTGAAAAGGTATCTCGCCAGAGCTCAGAAACGTGAAAGCAGGTCAAAGGTCAAGCTCTCTATCAACAGGCATATCTAAAGCTAAGGCAAAGGGCATTGTCAAAAGACTTACCTGTTCACCAGGAGATGTGTATGTCATGTCTGTTCGGGTAAGGGTGTGTCTGTACGTGCAGGTAGTGTACCTGTTGATGCAAAGTAAAGTGTCTGTTCAAGCAGTAAATGTCTGTTCGTTGAGAGTTGTGCCTGTYSGAAAGTAAAGTCAATAGGCACAGTCCCAGTTCTGGTCTAAGTCCAGGGGTCAGTCCAGATCCAGACTTTCAAGTCCAAATTCAGGCCGGGAGGCCTCAGCAGCAGTTGAATTTCATTGGGACTCTACTCGGACACATGCAATGCAGGGTCTGGGACAAGGAAAGAGGCTGAATTGAGCCAATGCAGACCCAGCGAGGAGTATAAAGGAGGCAGCCAGCCTCATTCCTCGCCAGATCTCCACTGGCTGTATCAGCGTGGAAGTGTTGGAGCACTTGTGCGTTAAGTTAGTAGGAGCAGCGCTGGAGGAAGTAGATGCGCTGAGTGAGGGAAAAGGTTTGCATGTTGGAAGTGATGCAGCCATAGCTGCCCAGCAAGTTAGCATTAGTAGTAGTGGGTTAGTATGTAGCTATGAGTAGTATTCAGAGTAGATCCTCATGAATGAAGGGTGTGTATGCATCGTAGGAGGAAGGGATTGAGGTTGAGAGTGTTCATTCAAGGTTCGGCTATGGAAGATACTTACCTGAGTTGAATGTGGGCTGCAAAGGTGGCGCTGATGAGTGGTGACCACATTGATGACTTGGAGGTTATCTGCAGGAGTAGCGCTGATTCACGGAAAGTCATATTGATGAGCTGACAAGAGATTGGGGTTGCGCTGATGAGCGCTGGACTCCGGGGAACTTTGAAACACTTTGTATTCATATTTCTGATAATATAAGCAGTGAAACTCGGTCCCCTTCTTTTCTACCTTTGTCTATGGTTGATACTATTGATCGCTGCGTGTGAAGATGATGCATGCGTGAGATGGTCTCCAGGACCCATGCAAAGACCTTTGACTCCCCTTTTAAGGTGGATCCAAAGGCGGATGGAAAACGAGATGATCCTGTTTGGCATTTCGTTGCTCGTGGTCGTTATTTAGATGGATCCACTGCGGTCGGGAGGAAGAACGGTCGCCGTTGTTTGTGCAGGTTATGCGGTCGTTCTCTATGTGGGGATGCTCGTGAGGCGAAGGAACACTTTTTTTCGTGGCGAGGGGTATAGATGCCACGTGGCCACTCCGGCGGTGTGGCACGCGATTTGGTCAAAGGATATGTCCAAGTGTCTTGCACATTTGGCTTGTGCCGTGCAGGCCTTGCAAAGTCTCCCTCTAGGTCATCCCTCTTTTCAATGGCCACCTCTTCGTTTTCCCGATGACGTCGTTCCGCCGCCCCCGTCGACCGCTGCCCCCTCGCAAGTGGCGCCATCTCCATGTGCACCACTTGCTCCCCTCCCCCCTCGTCCGCTTCGTCAGACGATTCCCGCATCCGTTGATGGCAGACCATCTGTGGCAACGCAGCCTGATGCGCAAGGCACCGTGCCAGTTTCAGGTGTCGGGGAACCTGTGCCGTTCGACGAGCAAGGCACTCGTGCTTTTGTCGAGGGCGGTGGKTGGGGGAAGGACGCTGGCACATCATCAGGCSTCGCCCCGTTRTTCACTGGCAACARGGACAAGGTCCCAAGAGTTCGACGCRCAGACACACGTCCGRCCGTGGCAGGAGYACCCGCAACAGGACATCAATCCRCTGCGTATCCATGGTTGCCTCCCCCTCCTTCGCAAACACGACGGCCTACACCAGACTTGACTTCGGCACCTGTTGGCGAGGCCGCTGCAACAGCCACTGAGGGTGCGGGAAACGTCCAGCTCGACGAGCCCGTCCAGGTTTCGGATTCGTCACCCACTCCTGTGCCCGTGARCGGCCCGACCTCGCAGCACGGTGTTTTTGGAACACTGGATCCTTTACAGAATCTGCGCAACATTGCAGCTCCGAGTCCAGGCCCCACCGCATCACCTGCGGCCGGGGGCGGGGTGAGGGATTCGCTAGGTATGGGCGCCGGTGCACGAGTGAGGGGCACTTACAGGCAGCAGGCGGTGACCTCGTATTACAACGACCCGCTGGAGCACGCATGGCACCTGCAGATCATGCGATTCATTGTCGAGAGCGGCATGCCGTTCAACTGT